CTGCGACAAAGGGGCGCTGAAGATCCACGTCAGCGCGGTGCATTTGCGAGAAATGCATAAATGTACGATTGACGGATGTAACATGATGTTCAGTTCAAGGCGAAGTCGAAACCGTCACTCGGCTAACCCCAATCCGAAACTGCATTCATCGTCGTCACGGAGAAACAGCCTTCCTCCTCCTGGTTGTCGCGTTGTTTCACCCCCTGCTGCTGCAGAGGAATACGAGCGGCTTATTTCCCAAATCCGAACCAGATACGAGGAAGAAAATCAAATGGAGCAACTTTCGGTACGTGTCAGACTACGGTATTCATAAGTTGAACAAGAGAAAAACTGCTGTTTGTTTTAGGGATGTGAGATGGATAGTTATTTCCAGTCGAAAGGTTCGTTTCTGGGCAGTCCGGTGGCGCGTAAAAGAAAGAGCAATCATCCAATCAAAGTGAAACAGTGCCAGCAAATGAATAAGGATGACGGCGAACCGCCCCATAAGATGAATGGCTTTGGTCCGCTGCAGCCAACGAGGAACGAGGAACGGAAGTTCGTCGTTGATCCGCTGTGCTCCTCGACGCCGGAGGAGTGTCGTGAAAACGATTCCAACGAATCGTCGTCCGCGTTGGACTACAGGTGCTCAAATGGCAACTTGTCGAATATACAGGAGGCGTCCGTGTTGGATCAACTTACCGATCTTACCCTAAATCTGAACAAGATGTCGTGCTTCACGGCTAAGGAGGATTCGGCCGAAAAGCGCAGGGCGAGTCCCAAGGATCTGCTGTCGCCGTTTGTCGACGACGTTTCGCCGAAGGAGATTGCAGAGGTTAAGACGGCGTTCGAATTTCCTGGTCGCTGCCAAGAATATGACTCTAGTCGGACGGTGGCCGAGTGTCACGTTGAGGCCACAAAACGAGGTATGGACGAAAAAGTGAACGACGGAGTCGACCAAAGATCTCGAGACGTTGCAGTCGCGGTGGCCAACGGTCAGTGTAAAACGCTGGGCGGCGGTGTAGCAGAGGTT